AAATCTCATTTAATAGAGCGCACGCGAAACTCCACGTTGGAAATTCATTTCGACACACCGACCGAGGGTGGTCGACTCTTAAAACAGGGATTGAATTAAACACCCCGCGCTTCTCGACACGATATAGCATCGCCGAAGACTGATAACATTACAGAAAATTATGCAGTATGCAAAAACATGATTACGGTTGTCCATCCTAACGTGTCCTAAATGTTTTAACCTGACGTCAATTAAGAAATAACGATTCGTTATGTTACCCTTCATGTTTCTCGTATGTCAAAATTGATTATCCGAATTGCAATGAGTTACGTAAATCGCTACAAAGTTACAAATTTAAATTATATTCATCGTTTCACCTTAATGAAAATTAATGTCTTCATGCATTTTTTTCCGAATGCGAAATGACTTACTCGCAAACGCAAAATTATGCGCGATCGAAATTCTGATGATTCCACAGATGATAACGTTTGCAATGTGCCATTCAATCATTATAATTATAAAAATTTATCTGTTTTCAGCTGAAAAGACGTAAATTCAGCGATTGGTTAATTAAAGAGCTCGTCAGGAATCTCGTTGGATAGTCGTAACTGTGAAATTTATATCCCTGCTGATCACTTGATGAAATTAGCTGACGTTTAATCAAATTCAAAGTCTCACGTGCAAATTCAAGACGCGTGCATTGGATCACGCGTGTTGCGTGAGGTAACGCACGTGCGCACGTGACGCATCTCAAGACGGAGAACAATCCCGTGTCGATTAGTTTACGTCGGGCACCGTATCTCTTCTCACGCCAAGTCGGAATTCAAGAATAAAAAGAATCGAATTATGCAAATAATCCCGGAATCCGTAAGGAAAAAAGTTGCAACTTTTGGGGTAGAAGCGAGTGGGGTTTCGCGCCGCAAGAAAAATGGCGTAGAATAATTTGCCTCGGGAGGAAAAACGTGAAGAAAGAGAGAATCTCCACGGGGGGGGGGTGAGACAAGTTTAAATTTGCGGATATTAAATTGTAGACATTACACGCACACGCGACTCATTCGGAGAAAACTTCCAAATTACGAGAGAATACGTCATCGTGGCGAGTCTCGTTCCGATGATAAAAAGGACGTATGATATCTCGTTGATTGGGAGATATAGAAAAAATGTACTATGTAATTATTATTAAAATTATTATTAAAATAAATTAAACAGGTCGATAATAAAATTTGAAATCGGCACCTTAGAAACGCCGGAACTCGTTACTCGCGTGTCGGAAGGTAATTTCTAAAAGCGAGCGACAATTGGCGCTCGATAGTGCATTTGCGAGTTCATTTCAAGAGAAAGAGAGAGAAACGGCGACGACGGCTATTCCGTCCTCGTGCGCGCGTACGCGGAGATCATATCTGCTTAATTTAGTCGATGAGCCGCATTATAAAGCACGAGTAATAATGCAATGAGCGGGCTGCCTCGACTTGCCGCAGAAACGCGATTTGCTCGGCGGAAGTGAAGATGTTGGATGTTCAAGGCTTGTCTGAATGAATAGCGACGGGGAAGTTACGCTCTCGCGCGCACGCACACACACACACACACACACACACACACACACACACACACACACACACACACACACACACACACACAGAGTCGTGTCGAGTGCACACGCGTCCCGACCTATCGTTCTCCGTTTTCTCCCTATATATATTCTCTTCCGCCCTTCGGATTAATCCGCCGCCTCGAAGCGGGCTCAGGATTTGCTACGGTTTGCGAAATCGATAATATCGCGGCTACGCTGCGTTTTCGCGGTTCGACATTTCGCGGCGCGCCTCGATGTCGCTTATGTATCCGATAACGCGATGATACGGCCGAATTATGTAATGAAAGTAGTCGCGAATTTTTTTAATTCAGAAAAGGCAGAAACTCAAAATTTCCGAATGAATAACGCTCAAATGGTTAACAACATGATCCGCGAAACGCGATATTTGAGAAATAATTTCTCGATACGAAAAAGAAAGGGAAGAACCGTTGTTGTTAATCGCATGTCGCGATTTTTTAATATGTTTTTTTTTTCTTAGCGCCCATTCTTTCGTTTTTTCTTATTCGCATACGCGAACCTTTTCTTCCGCTTTCCGAACGGAAAATTCGGGAAGATCGAAAAACATTTCTATAAAGCGTCGGGAATTGCTATCGCGGTCACTTCACGATACACGTGTTTGAAGAGGCTATAGGCACCATTAGAACATGCTACGGGGATGTGAACGACGCGTGGGTGGCGATAGGAAGAGAGCTAAAACAACGTCCGGTCGGAAGTGCCTCTTTTACCTTTCGTCTTGCTCATGGTAGATTTACCATTCCACTTCCATCGTTGCTTTCTTATCCCCACAACTTTGAACCGCTTTCTCTTTTAATTTCATCGTTGCTCTCAAATTTTATACCCCATTGATAACCTTGAAGATTGATTTTCAACGAAACATTGTAAATTGCTTTATTAAACAGTTGCAAGAGAAAAAAGTACGTTTTTCAACAAAACAGTTTTATCACTCTGATGAGAAGTTTTTGTTATTCTATTCATAAAATACTTCTGTGTAATTTGTTACAAACATTTTTTTTCATTGTTATATTAAATTTCTGCAAGTCGCTAATAATTTTATTGAAATTTAATTTAATTTTTGTACGTTATAATTCTTTACCAAATTTCCCTATTTAAAATTATATCTTACTCGTAAAAATAAATAACGAATATTTATATAATTATGTAAATATATTTATAATATAATCATAGGTGTAGATTTTCGAGTATTAAAATTAATCCTTTCTTTGATCACAGTCAGAAGTAGAAATGAGTCTACGGAGTTTGATAGACCAAGTTGCCAAGAATAGCATAATCTCGCGTCTCTCTGCGTTCGAATTCGGGGAATTTTGAATCGATCGAAATGGGGTGAGATTTGTGGTCGTAGAAATGGCGCGGGAGGGTGGGAAAATTCCGTGATTCGATCGGCCATCCTTCTAGGCGTCCCTTCTCTCGATTAGCTCGGTTGACGAGGAGAAACTTGGGCACTTCAATCCGCCGAGTAATTGGCCTAAGGAAAAAGCCGGAAAGTTAAATTACATTTACTTGTTAATATCAAATTAATCACCACTTTTAATTCGCCAAGTTGGAGACTCGCTCCCGTAAGATTAACACAATCGCGGAACTCGGCGGTGCCGCGAAAATCCTCGATATATTTCAGAAATGAGAGAAACTCGCGCTTTTTTCTCATATTTTTTTCGATGATCCCGTATTGCTTTTTTTTTCTCATCGCGATCGCTTTTAAATTCAGCCTCGGTTGCGTAAGGGGGGGTTAAGGGAGAAAGCGGAGAAGCAGAGATTCGGTGGGACTCTCGGATTGAACGGCATTCATAAAAAAATGGAAGCTCCCTGACGAGTTTCCGAGATGCGCGCGTGGTCCAGTTTCTCTTTTTATTTTTTTCTTTTCCTTTTGCTTTTCAGTTGTTTCTCGATCGTTAATTCGTCGGATTATCGCAAAAAAACGGCAAATCTAAGGAGATTACGTTAAACAGAGAATTAAAAGGCGGAGTTAAATCGCGCCGCTTTCCACATATCTCGTGTAAATACGCGGCTCTCGGAGAATCGGAACTTTGAAGAAAGAACATCTTTGACCGGGTTGCATTAAGATAATATTGACGGAGATAAAAGGCACTTCGCACTCCGTTTGGCAAGATCAAGCCCTTTGAAAAGCTAAAACACCCAGTCGACACGCTTTCTTGATGTTCGACCCGTCGGTATAATTCACGCGGGATTAATCAGGGGGTCGCTCGTTCTTTTCCACCGCGGCTCTTTAAGGGAGAAATTCAAGCGACTTCGCCGATCGGCATATTTCGCGAACGGAAGCCTGCGAACTGTCGTGAATTAAAAAGCAGACGAGAAGATTAGAGATTCTGATTAGATAATATTAACGGCATCCACTTTTTGCCATCTCCTTCCGCAGGGCAGGATATCCTGGACTTACACGGTCGTTACACATCCCCGGGGAAGCCGCCTCTCGCGCGCCGTGTTCGGCTCGTCGAACACGGCGATTTTCCGCAAAGAGCGATAAGGCCGTTGCGGAAGTGGGCCGCCGTGACACTTCGCCACGGCCGTTGAATCTCGCCGGAAGTCACGTCGGCGGCGGGTAAATGAGGCGTGCACCCCGCACTATAGAACTCGAACGATCAGCGCCAGGCCTGGAACGAGCCAATTCGCGTGGCTGTACACAACCGCTTACACGAGATTATCGCCGCGATTTCACGACCGGGAATTTTCCCCCAAGAATTCCATGGACGGCCGGGATACCGATATTACGGGGCGATACCGGCTACTTTGAAACCCGAGTCTCTGTAATCCGATTTGTTAGGAATCAGGCTGCCCGACGACGATATCTTTGCTCGACGTTGCTCGATCAACAGAGAGAAGTCGATCGCCTCGGAAATGTCTGAAATGATTAATGGTGTCAACGTTGTCGCGATAATATCGCGATAATATCGCGAGGAAAGGCGCCATCGTTTATTTCCAAGGTGACGCGAGTCGAGAATCGAGGAGGGCGGGTGGTGAAAAGGCAAAGCTAGAAAAATCCTCCGAGGTTTTGCACTGATTTCGCACAAAATTAGTCGTAACTCTTATATCAAACTGGATATTGGTATTAAAAATTTTTTTTAATTGATAAATGTCGGATTATAATTTATTAACAATCTAATTGGATTATGTGGATTGAATAATTAATTGTCACTTTAAGTTTGGCGGTTGCAAACGTTGATCTAGAAAATCTGTGAAATATCTCGTTATTGTGGAATTTTCTGATTTTGTACAAACGCGTAAACGCGTCTTTATGTATTTAAAAATAATAATTGACAAAACAAACGAAACAAGCATGATCATCAAGGAAAAATAATTATCTATCATTTCTGTATTAAATGGCAATTTTGCCGCGTGATATTAATTTTAAAAAGCTTTGAAAAATTTCTTAATCGCATCGACTACATTTAATGGCGGCTTATTTAAGAGTCAACTTTCCCATCTTTTCTTCGGTAGATTCAAATTTAGATTTAAGTTTACAGAACGCTTCGCGGCTCTCTAGATCTTGTTATAAAATCTGCTGGGATTCTGGTGAAGAATCCTGGAGGAAAGTGTGAAGAAACGAGTTGGACCACTCGCATTTTATGCCCTTCTTCTCCTTCCTCGATTTAATGTCATGGTTCGCCATGATCGCGAATCGATCGCTCGCGATCGTACTTTTACGAATTGTCTCTCACGACGAGTCCACGATATGTGCCGGCGACTCGTCGGCAGGAAGCAAAATACTATCGATAGTTTCATGCGTAGTGCGAGAGTGCGCGAGAGCGTCTCAGATCGTGAATTGGAGGACGAAGAATTTGTAGTGAATCGTTGTCGTCGTCGTCGACATCCTTTTTAACATGCGCCCTGATCGCGTAAGGTATTGTTAGCCGAGCCGGCGATCGTCGACGATCGAGACGCACATTTCCGTCAAAAAACGTACATGTATAGGAGAATGTTAGATGTATAGGAGAAGATTCCTTCGGCCCTCGTCCGGATTCGCGCGATGCTTCTCGCAAACCGTTCGCGTAAACCAAAGGCGAAGAGTCCGAGGATTCACTTTGGGCGGCGTTAGTTAGCGCGTGCGGTCCGAAAAAAAAAGAGTAGCGCGGTAGTTGGCGATAAAACTATGAAAATTAATAGTCGATTAGCCGATATAGTTATTATCACTAATTATTAGTCTCGAGTGAAAGCGAGAAGAGAGAAAGTGAGAGAGAGAGAGAGAGAGAGAGAGAGAGAGTG